CGCGATTTGGGGCAGTTCCCGGTGGAATTTTTTGATGAAACTTTTTGAGCATCTTATTCACCAAGTCTAGTTTACTCATACCAAATTTCAGCTAAAAATTCAATCGGGAACACATTCAAATTAATTCTTGAATATAACTGCGCATTTTTGCGTTCTCGAATTAATTTGAATGCGCTCTCGATTAAATTTTTAGCTGAAATTTGGTATAAGTAATCTAGACTTGATGAATAAGATGCTCAAAAAATTTCATCAAAAACTTCCACCGGGAACCGCCCCAAATCGCGACGACCGGACAAAGTCTCCTACAGAAGGACTTAATTGACATTTTTATGAAAGTTCGAGGACCTATTTGACAGTTTTCCCTTCAGATTTTATTATCTATACAAAATCTTTTTCATTCTCTAAGATCAAATAGTGAAATGTAGTGTCTTATAACGCCTTGTCATGTCTTGAGTTTGCAGATATTTATTACAAAAAGTTCATGGGTTACACCAAAACTCTTTGATGAATGTTCTATCACAAACTTTTTAGTTTGCCTCTGCGTCAACATCAAACAATTTGACTCTTTACATTACAATTAATTACTTCGTAATGTTTAATTTTTCAGGAAACATGTACCTCAAGCCTAGTAATACCTGAGCAACTACACAAAAAAAAATCTTCACGAGGAAGCTTTGGTGTAGATAATATGTATAGGTTTCAGTTATATTTTGTAACTAGTATGACTGTCATGACACTGCCTTTGAGTACACAAGGCATTTGAGTTTCAAGTGAAAATATATTTATGGTGTAGGATTTCTTTTGATAAACATAAAGATTCAAAGTTAATCGATATAAAAGTATATAGTTACCATAAAGTTTACATAAAGTTTAGATATAATATATTTAATGTTAACTTATGAAGTGTGTGATCGTAGATAATGATCACTACAACGAGTTAATGGGTTAAGTGAAATTGCCTGTGAACCGACATGAAATGTCAAGTCATAGGTAATAGTCACTAGAACGGATTCATATGCAAAGTGAAATTGTCTGTGAATAAGATGTGAAGTGTCTGGTCACATACAATAGTCATTAGATTGGATTAATGTTAAACGTGACTATTGTCTGTGAACAGGCTAATCGGCTAAGTGAGGTTGTCTGTGACTAGACACTTTATATCAGGTTCACAGACATTTTCATTTGGCACATTAGCCTATTCCATTTGCCATTGTCGGTAACCAGACTCTTGGATATTTTAATATTTTTTGGATGAAAAGTGTATCATAAAAATGTAAAGTTCAGTTCGGCAAAGTCAGCACATAAAAATTTCAAGTGTGTTGATGAAAATTGACTTATTTTACAATCTTTCGGAGTTGCTTCTGCCAGGAGTCCAGGACTACACAAATTAACTTACATTACTTGAAATTAAAAACAAAAATTCCTTTCCGTCAAAACATAAAAACATACACAAATCGTATTGAAGCTTTTAACAAGCAATTTAATTCTTCAAAGCGGATGGAATCAAATATTAAGGATGTTACGGATGTTGTAGACCTTGACCTTATTTGGTGACATATTGGATTCATTTGAGGAAAATCCATTTGTTGGAGTGTTGTCTGCTTTATGTAATCAGACTTTGACTTAAGTTATTGACATATTGGTCATGCATATTGGTTAAGGCCGCTATTTTGGTTTATTGCATCTTAGGAGGATATGTCTTCATTTTGGTTTATTAGTCTCATTTATTTAATTGTTGGATGGTTTTTATATCCTATTAGGTGATAATCACGTTTAAAAATTGTTTAGTCTTCCATATTATTTTTATCCTTACTCTCTTAAAGATTACATACCTCATTCAATAAAATGCTCAAAGACATGCTCAATGAACGCTTGAAGTCAACTATTTTTTTAGAAAGAAAATTCATTTTTTGTGTTAAGTGACTAGTGGTGGTTTGTCCCAAACATAGTGGGATGGAGGTAGTATCATATTCCCTCTATTTATTATGTTTGGGACAAGGGACATGGAATGTAAATCAAGGGAAAATATACAATTATAAGGTTGCACTGGCCTAGATCCCTCTTTCAAAATTCTAATCTGAGTATGTATGATTGACATATAAATCATTTTCAAATTAATAATCGTAGAAACATCTAATGTATAAAAAAGAAGTTGAGTTATTACATTGCACTTTGCAAGTTCAAATAAAACTAAGTTCATAAATACAATTAGGAGAATCCAAACCGTTCATGTAATATGTACTTACATAATTGACTGTGTATACAACAATAAACACTTTTGTTGTATTGGGATTCAAGTATTCAACTACAACCCAAAATTAAAAATATAATGGATAGAGCAAAATATCAACATTTTTTCCTTTTACCTATTCGCATTGCAATTAGGAAGAGGAGCGATACAAAGCCGAAAACCATTGGCCATGATCTCAGTTCCTTTGATTTGCAATGACACAACCATGACTTTCTTAAACACTAATCTACATTAACAAAAACGAGAATAAAATTATGAATTTGAACAAAAAAGTCATTGAGTAATTTCAACAAACATGTTATGGGCATAAATGAACTAGAGTAATTACCCTAAATTTTTAGGAATAAAGGCCTCTTATCTCTTATAATAAAACAAATTCAGCACCGATTCAAGGTTATTTTATACCAATATACATAAAATCAGAACAAATATATAAAAAAAGTAAAACACACAATATTGATATCTCTTACAAATATACTCCGTATATTTTATAGAAGAAAAAAAAATCAGAGTTAAATCCCTAACTAGCAATAACAAAACAAGGGAAATTTATTATCTAGCGAGTTAGGGTTAAGGAGATTGGATTGAAGGAAGATGAAGGGAAAATGAATACCATTTGGCAATGGAAACGAACAGTCGAATCTGGCTTTGTGGACGACGTCTTCCGTCTTCTATAACAAGACCCGGGCCCAGCTTCTCCTCTGTCTCTTCTGTAAGAGTGCAACCTTCTCATACTTGATCAATGACTAGAGCTGAATCAGAAAGATACAGGGATAAGGGTCAGTATGGTCCTCGAAGTTGCAAAAAAGGAGTCAAATAAGTCCTTATATAGAAGATTCTGTCCGAACGTGCCATTTGAGGTGGCTCCCGGTAGAATTTTTTGATGAAATTTTTTGATAATCTTATTCATTAAGTCTAGTTTACTCATACCAAATTTCAGCTAAAAATTCAATCGGGGAGACATTCAAATGAATTTTTGAAGAATTCTTAAAAAAAATGCAATGCTATAAAAATGACATTGTGAGCATTACAATGACAGTGACAATGTAGTAACAATGACACAGCACAGTTATCTTCAAGAATTCATTTGAATGTCTTCCCGATTGAATTTTTATGTGAAATTTGGTATGAGTAAACTAGACTTAATGAATAAGATTATCAAAAAATTTCATCAAAAAATTCTACCGGGAGCCACCTCAAATGGCACGTTCGGACAGAATCTTCTATATAAGGACTTATTTGATCCCTTTTTTGCAACTTCGAGGACCAAACTGACCCTTTACTCAAAAGATACACAAAGAAAAGAGAAATATAAGAGATGAGAGATTACTGAGGAGAGGGGGATTCGAAGAACTGGAAGGAGGGGAGGATTTTTCCGTAGAAGGGGAGGCTGCAAATGAGAGTGAGAAAGGGGTGAAAGGAAAATGGGAGAAAAGTGAATGGTAAAAGACAAAGGTAAAAAGCTATATATAGCATGTACAATATGTGTATAACATGTGTACATATAGAATTTTCGTAAAACAATCGCACAGAACTTAAATAGGAGTCAGCACTTTTTTTACTCTTAAATAAGACTACTTTCATGTTAAGGGACAAAATGCCCCCATCTTCACAGAAGCGTGCTGGAGAAAGAAAAAATAATTCCACTTTAATTATAACAAAGATTCCTCCGCTGGCTGTCACTATCCGCCGCTAGACCTCCGCCAACTGTCGCCGGACCTTCGCCGACTGCTGCCTGATCTGCGCCGACCGCCGCCAAACCTCCGGCCACCGCGTCGAACCTCCCCAAACCGCCGGCGACCTCCGCCGACCGCCGCCATACCTCTGTCAAACCTATGAAGATCTCCACCACCCATTCTCCTCCGGTAACCTCCGTTGCAGGTCCTCCGACGACTTCCATCACTAGTTCTCCAGCGACCTCCGCAGCCAGTCCTCCGGCGACCTCTGCCGCCAGTCCTCCGATGACCTCTACCGCTGATTCTCTGCAACTTCTTTCAGATGTACTCTGGCGACCTTCATGACCAGAACTTGAATAGCCAACAATGAGCTTCAACATTAACCAGAATGTCACAATGTCAATGTGAATGATAATGGCAACATAAAAAAATGCAATGCTATAAAAATGACATTGTGAGCATTACAATGACAGTGACAATGTAGTAACAATGTCGTAACTATTTTACAATGTCACACATTGTTATTATAAACATTGCCAACACAAACACTTGAATGTTACAATGTCATGATAACAATGTAAGTGTTATGAAAAATGAAATTGAGATAATGACTATGTTAATATAGCAATGAAATGTCATTGCCAATGCTATGTAAAATGACATTGAAATCAAGACAATGTCAATAGCAATGTAATGACAATGCTAGCAACAATGTAATGTCATTGTCAATCTTGAATTCTTGTTGTCGATAGTAATGTGATGACAATGTCAGAAATATTTCTCAATGTAAAACGTAGTCATCTTAAATATTTCCAAAAATAAACAATGTCAAATATTGTCAACAATATCAAAATAAAAAATGTCACAATATCAATTCAATCATTGTAACAAAATATTCGACAATGTCAATGTTATAATGACATTGTGATAAACCGACAATGTAAAATAATAACAATGACATTGGAATCAAACAATTATGAAAACAATGTCAAACATTACAAGATGTCATAATAATAAATTCTAAATTTGACAATGTTGATATCATATAGAAATATATGACAATGAACATCAAAGTGTGACTATAATAATGACATTTGAATCGAATTTTATCTAACAACTACAAAACAGAAACAAAACAAAACAAATATCTCTACAAAAGTAAGAAGTTGAAACAAAAAAATTTGAAGAGGAGAAGAATTAGAAGGCACCGTATGACCAAGGCACCAAAGTTCATTCCCAGATCTCTAAAACAAATACTTCGTATTGAACAAAACAAAGAGAAAAAAATTTATCCGCCTCCTGTAAAGGAAAACCAAAATTTGGAAGGCACCGTATGACCATTGACCAAGGCACCGAAGTTCTCATTCCCAGATCTACCCAAGAGAAGAAGAAAAAGAGGATATTTGCAGATCTATCCAAGAGAAGAAGAAAAAGAGGAGGAAGAAGAAGAGGGCAAGAAGAGGGGAAGAAGAGGATAGAACACAGAGCCTCTCGCCGCAGCTGTTGTGCAAGCTCGCCCTTTCCCTGCAGCTGTTGTGCCGCCGCATCTTCTCCGTCGAGCCCGCCCTCTCCCCGTAGTTGTTGTGCTGCCGCATCTTCTCCGTCGAGCCGCCGCTGCCAATCACCGTTGGAGTGTTGTTGTGTCTTATCTGTCTTGAAGCTCCCCTGCTTTGCTGTGGAGAAAGAAGAGAGAGCGTACGACGAGTTTGAGCCGCGGAGGAGAGATAGAGATTGTCGTGAGATGAGGAAAAGATAAGGTTCGATGTACTATCAGAGATACAAGGGTAAATGTGTCCATACCTATTAAATGAAGTCTTATTCACAGATTAAAAAGACGTCACTCTTATTTAGGTTCATAGACTTTTTTTAGTCCTATTCTAGACCATTTCTAATAATTGCCACCCATATACTACGTATTCATATATCTCTATCACATACGCATATGATCTTCCTAAATGTTCATAATAAATGTGACTTTTAATTCCCACGCCAAAAATAGACTTGACTTTTCACATCAAACCATTCCCAATTTCCCAGCAACCAGGTGAAGTATCAAGTATGAAATATTGAGTTCTGACATTTTTCTTCCCTTTGAAATTCGGCGTACACATTTTTTTGTACATATATTGGTCAACAGACATGTTTTGTCTGTCAACAGACTATTCATGGATAAAGAAACAAATATGTACTCGTGTATACAAAAAAATGTACTCCCTCCGTCCCATTAGAAGGTTCTTACTTTCCTTTTTTGGATGTTCCATACAAAGGTTCACATTTTCATTTTAGGAAACAATTAACAATCTTAAGTGACAAATTAATCATTAAATATTAAAAACAATACAATTATAACATCACAATTATCATTACTAGCTACATTATAATATATACCTATTAAAATTGTTTCTCAAAATATATTCAAAGTACTTTATTTAATTATTGTCTAAATAACCGTACCGTTTTATTATTAGAACTTTCTAAAGGGACGGAGGTAGTATATAACAAGAAAGGCCGTTTAAAATTTCTGATTTGACCATCTTTTAATTCATAGGAGGATCACCAAAAATATGGATTTCAAATGTGGATCAACGGTTCAAAAAGACTGATACAGTAGTGGTCAATGCATCTCTCTGGGAAGAGGCAAAAAACATTTAATTCAAACTTTGATTAATTTCCAAAAGTTCCACCGACATAGAAAGGTAACTTTAGAGCCTTTGTAATTAGTTACCATTCCTCCTTTTTTGAATTATCTCTAGAAAACCAATTGGTTTAATTTTATCACTTTAATATCGCAGTACTTATAATATTCCATGCAAAATAAAACGATATAAATTACAGAGATAGATTAGTCGTTTTATAAGGCTCCATACTTCCATAGTTCTTGTTTGGAACAATAACCGATAACGATATGTTGAGTAACCTTTTTGGATAATTGTACAACCTACAATATACTCTAATTTAATCCAATTGTTATCCCAACACCTATTCGTGCAATTATTTTTCATTTATTTGCAATAAAATCAGCTACCAGCTCAAACGGATAAGTTAACCTGTAAGAATCCTAGCAGTAAAACATGAGCTTTCTCACACTCTCAGTGAGTTTAGGCAGTGGCATTGTCTTAGGGGGAGCAGCCCGAGTGACCGTAGAGGTTTTCAATGAACCGTTCGTATCGTGACGTTCAAGATATAGCCTACCCCTATACGCGGCAAGGTGAGCATAGTAAACAGGCGGCACCAGTGAAACAGGCTTGGTGCACCTCACAAAGGTGTAACACAGATTATACACCAACTTCTGAAGCTCGTCAGATGTGAACCGGTTTTCGTCCCATAATACATGGTAATGGATTGGCCGGCTTGTTCCCTTTATTCCCCAATGGCTACAAAGGTAGAAATCAAACTCAGTCGGGTGAGTGATGACCGTGTCCACGACTGTGCCAGGTTGGACGTTCTCATCGGAGAACCGGTTACCAACCGGTTCATCGGGGAGAAATAGTCGGGTGTGGTGTCTCTTTTGGACGACCACGAATGTAATGGGCGGTTTGTACCCCGGGAACCTCGAAAAAGCCTTTTGGATTGCTTGGAGCTCCTCTTCGACAACTTTGGAGAATTGTGATTCACTAACTCCATCCCTAAAAAAGATTATTCTCTTAGGGAGCAAAAACATCTCTTCATAGAAGTCATCAAGAATTTCACCCACCATTCCACTTAGATCCTCAATGATCTCTTGCCTATGTGTTTGTGACTTCATTCTCGACACGTACTTATTGGATTCCGGCCAATTCACGCTCCCAACCACTGCAGCGACCGAGGGACTCGAATCGTCCAATGGGTGCGGGTGGGTGACATCAGCGCCCATAAAGATGACCGGATCATCATGCTTGAAGATCCTTGGGATCTGACAAGGTAATGAGTTGAAGAGCGCAACGGTGGACCCACCAACTTTGGCATTGATCTTGAGTGCCAAATTTGCAAGAAAATGTGTGGAAAGGTTGTTAAGGTTTGGGTATAAGCAACATTGTGAAACAACTCCGATTCTGGTCTCGGATATCCGTTTCAAGTCTCCATAACCTTTGTGTTTTCTCTCCATTACACAAATTAGAAGCTGCAAATTGTCCATTGCGGCTCTGTGTATGCTCTTGAGCTTAGATTCAAGTTGCTTTACATTGTTGAGCATGTGTAACGGCTCGAACTGTGGGTTAACCACCGCAGTTTTGTTAAGGAAGATGCCTAATTGCTCACACCTGTTAGATAGCTGATTTACAAACTTCGGTATGTTGGACTTCTGATCTGTGGTCCCACCAAAACTTATGAGTGCCCATCTCTCAACTCGAGTGCCTTCTAAGACATGACTATCCTGAAGGTTCCACTGCCTATCGCTCCGAGAAGGAACAAGATGTCTGACCTGTCCACTATCCCCAAGTTTCAGCTTGGGTGGGTGCAGGATTCGCCCGTACAGTTGAGTCATTTCTTTTGAAATTTGAAGCTTAAACTCTGCTTGATGATTGCCACTGTCAACAAAGAAGCATTTCCAACTCTAAGACCAACATTGCCACAAAACTTAGGTTTCTATTCAACCTGATGTAAGAAATAGCTCAAAGTAGTATATGTCTGTTCAGATGTTCGTTTCAGATGCTTTTTATACGGAGTATTTTCCAGATTTTATATGTTAAAACCTGAGGTTCTTCTATTAACATGATATGATATGAAAAAAAATCATTCTTACAATTCTTCGTTGTTTAGACTTATCAAGATTGCAATACACTTCAGAGTTTTCAATGTAATATCATAACATCAAATTAACACTTGAGTTTTGTCATAAAAGGTCAAGAGGGTTTTATATAGTGTATATTTTGTGTTGGTATGACTAAGATGGATTAACTAACACAGGTATGAATCATGTCTTTCAATAGCAAAGCAAAAAATGATACCTTGTTGGTCCAACGGGTCCTCTCATGACTCCATCTATAATTGTTTTTCGTTCTCTTGGTCGTTCACACCCCATTTTAAGAATGCGGACAGTCTGTTCATCAGAAAGTTTCCCGAGAAATTTCTGCCCTTCACAAACAACACATAATTCCATTGGAAGATAACAAGGTCTACCCCTACTAGTCAACAAACATGGCAAGTTCCTAAACTGTATATCATAGTTGTAATGATCCTTGAAATAGTTCACTAGTCTTATACTCGTTCCATCCCTATCTGAAAACAAGAGATCCTCAGTAATGTCTTCAGTTAAACTATAGACGCGATATCTCTGGATTGTTTCTCTATGGCAAACAAACACCCTAATGTTCTTTAATGCTTTCTCCACTTCCTTCCTCTCGTGACTTCTCAGCCTTCTTGTCTTCCTTTGAGAAAGATTGTGCAGAAAATCGAGGCGTTTTTCCAAGTAAGGGATCACTCCAATACTCTCATGGAAAGCTGTCATGGATAAATCCACATTAAGAGCAAGGCCTTGTTTGGTTGGCCTAAGACTCTGAAAGAATCCCCTCAATGCCACGGCCCCGCCTCCTATCTCCTTAGCCCCTCCCATTGAACTTGAGTAAAATGATTTTCCGGATGCCAAACACTTCTCCTTGGCGCTTTCCCGCAGCACAACATCTAATGCATGGAGATATTCCCGAGGAAGTGGGCTCCACTCATCATTGTCCCCTTCCTTGTTCAAGTAGCTGTTGAGCTTCACTCCATCAAGCTTAGATACTAATTTGATGTTGACTCGAAACATCTTGTTAGATTTTCCATTATCAATGGGAAGATTAACGTATAAATCAATCCTGTCATCTTGGAATTCAACTGGACTGTAGATGGTTCTTGTGCCATCATAAACCGGGTTTAAACCAGAAACAACAGATGAGTGGTTCTCCACTATGTTCTGTTTGATCATTCGAGCAATTTCCTTGGATGGAGTGGGGGAGATTTCAACATCGTAATGGAAAATCTGTTGCTGAGGGTCGAATCGAACAAGGAAATGATTAGCAAGCAGAGAGATAACCTTCCCTTCCACACCACCAGAATCTGGTCTTCTTGCCATCATCATTGATACTTGTTGTGTTGCAGGTCTGGCCTTCCTTCCATACAGCTTCTCAGCATTTGTTTGAGGTACCATTGAATCTGCCTCATGTTGAATTTCACATTAATACTATTAATATCAGAATTTTTTTGAAAATTCCTTAAAACATTGCGTTTGGTACCAAAAAGTTCATTTTTTATTTTAGCATGAAACCAATTGACCCTGATCAATTATCAAGGATATTACCTCGCCAGTGGCAGTTGGAAATTGCGTTTGGTAATATTTTTATTATAAATTTAAAATTTAACATTCTCATACCATGGGTATTTAATTAGTACGAGTAATAGTTATGGAAAATCCAAAAAGAAATACCATTCAAGAATCCGTTTTATCTTTGGGAATCAAGATTTACTTTTCAGTAACAGTGGAAAGGTGCAAGATTTACCAGGAATATAAAACAAAGAACACGAGAGTTTAGATATGTAGGGATGGGTACCAATAGTTTTTGCCAGTGCAGAACTGTTATCAGAAAAAGTTTATTGCTTTCTGTTCACTACATAAAGTTTATTGCTTTCTCAACAACCACAATACATACTCCGATTATCCAAAGAACTTTCCAATTTCCATGTATGCCATTTATGTACCATAGTATGAACTATGTACACTAAAAAACCATGCGCTCAAATACCGAACAGGGAAAAAGAAGGTAAAACCATTAACCAACCTGACGCAGATGAGAATTCAGAAGAGTTGGGAAAAGAAGGAGAGGCTGGAGAGCTCTGCTTCAATGGAGGAGGTTTCTGGAAATGGGATTTTGATGTGAAAGATTGGGTCTGAGGGAAAGGAAGTTGGAGAGGAAGGAATGTGGGAGGGAGGGGAAGGAGAGGAGGGTAATTCTGGTACTGGTTCTCATTAAGAAAACCAAACCTAAAGCTGCTGCTGTCTGTGGGGTGAATGCTGGCACCACCAGACTCTCTGAAACTCCTTGTTTTTGTGATGCATTTTGAGCTGGTTGTGGACTCATGTGATCCCTCTTCCTCCATGGCTGTGGGTGAGACAGAAAAGGGGAATGGGCAAAATGGATTCTTTGCATGATAGAGATATTGTTCTACTTGCTTCTTCTGATATCACTGTGGAAGCAACACAGTGATTGCAGAGACAGGGGTGGGTGGGGTAGGGTGGGGTGAGTTTGATTTTGTTTCACGTGGTTTCGTCAGTTGTAGTGATGGAAATTTTGATGCAGGTGAATTTCTTTTCTTCTCTTCGGACTACTTGTGATTATGACTCCTTGTCGTTGAATAAATTAGAGAAAAAGAGGCAAATAAGGTCACGTACTAACAAAAAAAAGATCATATAAGGTCTTATTTAAGAGATTCTGTCCGGAAGTCGTCATTTGGAGTGGTTCCCGGTGGAATTTTTTGATGATTTTTTTTAGCATCTTATTTAGTAAGTCTAGTTTACTCATAGCAAATTTTAGCTAAAACTTCAATCGGGAAGGCATTCAAATGAATTCTTGAAGATAACTGTGCATTTAAAAGCGCAGTTATCTTCAAGAATTCATTTGAATGCCTTCCCGATTGAATTGTTAACTGAAATTTGGTATGAACAAACTAGACTTAATGAATAAGATGGTCAAAAAAATTCATCAAAAAATTCCATCGAAAACCACCCCAAATGGCGAAGGCCGGACAGAGTCTCATAAATAAGACTTTATTTGACCTTTTTTGGTTAGTACGTGGCCTTATTTGCCCCTTTTCCCAATAAATTATACTCCGTATCATTTAGGAAAAAATAACGTTTAAATCCATTCTTATAATCACTTTTATACTTACTTATGTTTGTGAAGATATTTTTTGTTTGTGATTCCATTCATAGACAATATTTGGGTTGTACAAAATTTGCACAAACAAAGTAACACATACTTCGTCTATGAACCATATTCACAGACAAAAAAAACTTTCACAAATATGGTGGGTATAAAGTGGGAAAAAGGGTGATACATCAAGCATTGTTGTTTCATTTAACCCGTCAATTTTTGTCATCCCTTGTCCTCAGCCCCAAAGCCCCCAAGTTGCATTGTCACTCCTTTTATTTTAGGGGGAAAGGACAAATAAGGTCTTCTACTATTACAAAATCGTCACATAAAACAATGTACTCAATAAAGTGTCATTTAAATACTTGTACTATTAAAAGCAATCAGATGAGTCCTAACGACTCCTTAACTATCTCACAATCCCGATTTTAGCTTACATGTCATTATTTTTGCCTTATATATAAGTCAATCATAGCTAAATATTCCACGTCAGCATCATAATCTATTTTAAAAAGATAATCAGATGTACGTTAAAACCGGGATTAAGAGGTTGTTAAGAGGTCGTTAGGACTCATCTGATTGCTTTTTATAAGTAGATGTATTTATATGACATTTTATTGAGTACACGGCCTTATGTGACAATTTTATAATAGTAGAAAGTCTTATTTGACTCTTTACTTTTTGTTATTATTATACAATTCAGCGCGCAAAATCAGAAATTACATGTTTGGTTAAAAAGTTAGCTGATAAAACGAAAAATAAAGTCACCAAACAATGTCAAATTTTAACCTAGTTGAAAAAGACAAGAAAAAAATAATAACCTAGTTGAATCTTATTGACTTGTATATAGGGCTGAGCAAATCCCGAACCGACCCGCAAAACCTGACTTTTTTTCCGGATATTATCCGATTAGATACAGATACTCGACCCGAAAACCCGAAACCGAAAAATCCGATTAGTATTGGGCCTAGACCGGGTGGCGGGTAGGGTTTGTAAAATCCCAACCCGACCCGCACGAAATATCCGAAATATATTAAATTATGTAGTGTGTACTTTGAATATGTTAACTTAATATACGTGTTCAATTATTTGTGTAATTATTTGTGCAATTTATGTTAAATTATTTGTGTAATTTGAATGTGTAGTGCACTGTGCACTAGTGTGTACAATTTTTGTCAAAGTGACATTCCAACACTTTAACTATCCAATTATAATGTGTTTTAATATAACCGAAATATCCGAAATATATTAAATTATGTAGTGTGTACTTTGAATATGTTAAATTAATACTTGTGTTCAATTATTTGTGTAATTTGAATATGTAGTGCACTAGTGTGTACATTTTTTTGTCAAATTGACATTCCAACACTGTAATTATCCAATTATAATGTGTTTTGATATAACCGAAATATCCGAAACCCGGTCCGATATCTGATAATATCCGACTTAAATATCCGAAATACCCGATTTGAAATATCAAAGAGTCGGGCCTAGTATTTATATTAAAAACCCCGAACGGGTATGCAAACCCGACCCGCCCGAACCTGACCCGTACACAGCCCTACTTGTATAACTAATTTGGCCAAAAGTACACTTTAAATCTTATTGATTTGTCAAGTATTGGATTCGATTGTTGCAAACAAGAGCGAGTTCAATGGCAAGATATTTGATTTACAACTGTACGAGGTCTTGATGACATTTTTTTCCGGCTTATCAAGTTTATCAATCATTTTTTTTACCAAACACGTAACTTTTGTTTTCGTGCGCTGGATTATGTAATAATGAGAAAAAAGTAAAGTTGGAGTCACTGTTCTGACTGTTTTGGCTGAAGTTACTGTAGATGACTATTTTAACTATTTTTACATATATTTTTTCTTTATTTTATTGATAAAATATATTTCAAAAAAAATCTTAAAATATCAGAATCAGCCTATGCAGTCACTTCAGCCAGAACTTCATAAATTTCAGCAAAATCCGTCAAATCAACCGATTTTCGTGTTACCAAACGGGTTATAATTGTGACGTTAGTTATTTCTAGCTAGCTCATTTTTCAATAATATGACACTAATGATTAAGAGCTCGTTTGGTAATATCAAAAATCGGTTGAATCGGCTGATTCTACTGAAATTTATGAAATTCTGGCTTAAGTAGATGAATTGGCTTATTTTGCTGATTTATGGGGGGGAATTAAAATATGTTTTATTAATAAATAAAGAAAAAAAATATTTGTAAAAATAGCTAAATTGTCTTCTACAGTAACTGCAGTCGATACAGTCATAAAAGTAATTCTAACCTTATTTTTTTTATTATTAGACAATCTAGCGCCTGAAATCAAAAGTCACGTGTTTGTTGAAAAAGTTGATTGATAAGCCTGATAAGCTGAGAAATAGTGTTACCAAACAAGCTCTAAATGAAGATAACAAAAAAACGAATAATCCCAACAAATCAATCAAATTTGAAATAATACATTTTTATGGATTAATTTTTAATAAGATAAAAACAATATACTTATTTGGAAATACCTTTAAATTGGGAAAATATAATTAAATATTTTAACCCACAAGTAATTAGTGTTATTATCATTACTATAATTAGAATAATATTTTTTTTTGGAAGAAGAGGGCTTAAATTGATATTAAAGCATTAGCATTCGGAAAGGGAGTCAAAAAGTAAGGAACCACATCCAACCGTCAGCTAGGGCTGGCAATATCACCCGCACCCGCGGATATCCAGTCAACCCGAACCGAAAATATGGATGAAAACCCGAAAAAGTATGGATGAAAAATGGATGATGGGTGGATTGAAAGACGGGTTGGATCGGGTGTGGATGAACACTCATCCAATTCATCACCCGACCCGTCACTCGCTCTATCCACCCACTCGCTAACCTGCATATAAAAATAAATATATATTATATTATATTATATATAATATCTATTTAATAATATATATAATAATTAATATTAATATATTACAAAGTAATAGATATGTATTTGTTAATGAAGAAGACACATATCTATGAATTGGTGAAATAAAGACCATTGAAGAGTTTCAAAAAGTGGCAATTGAACTATAAAAATAGTTTGTGTCGATGCACAAATGTAGATTTGACAGCTTGAAAAAGTTTCATGTCTATTTTGTTTGATAATCACTTCTTTCTTTGTTGGAAACGAATTAATGATTGCAATATACTTAATTGCTCAAGTTTTTATTGTTATTATTCAATGAATTTTTAATTTTTGGTTTTTAATTGTCATAATTTCTATTTATAATTTATTTATTTTGTCTTTCAAGTTAGGATGTTTTTACTTGGACTGTAATTTGTCCCAGACCAGACCAGACCAGACCAGACCAGTTCAGACCAGACCAGACCAGCAAATTACAGTCCAAGTAAAAACATCCTTAGACTGTTTATATTCACCCGTTACTCATCTGATCCACCCGATAACCGGCTCATGATGGATGGATTGTATGTGGATGTAATTTCTAATGGATGATGGACGGGTGGGTGGAATATGAAAAATTAAAGGGTGGACGTGGATGAGCCTTCACCCGGTATAAATACGACCCGCTGCCACCCCTATCGTCAGCCCGCGAACCAGACTCAGGGTTAATCACCTTCAAAAAAGCAATATAACTCGCTGATCCACTAATGAGCAAACCTGAGCCACAGACGATTGAAGCAGACCAAACCTCACTCAAACCCAATGCAATAGTCTTACAATTAAAAGAAATAACGACAGAAAGAAACAAAGTCTGATTAACAACAATAAACATAAATAAAACAGTAAAATAAGAAGTCTTCTTCCAAGCCAAGAGCACCTCCACCGCCGCCGTCCTTGAACCTTTCGGACCTTCCACGTAGACCGGCGGACCTACAGGAGGTCCGTCTCCTCTTCATTTTTTGGACCGTCCAGCGCCATTCCTTCCCTTGCAGCATCTCCATGTTGCTCCTCTTTCCAGGTCCTTCTACGTTTTGGTTCCCCCAAGACCTCCTCCAGAGTAACTGAGTTTCCTTCCTTGATGGAACTCGTTCCCGTACCTGTAGCAACCTTCTAGTTCTGTTTATCCGCTTCCTTCCCTTCAGACATTCCCAGCCCAGTGCTTGACGACCCTTCAACTAGCCACTTTGTGCCTCCTGTGGGGCTGGTCTTCACCTCCATCCCTGCTCTCAGTTCGACTCCATAATTTTTATCAAAAGTAATATTCTCCCCCTCATATACTACCGGACAAAACTTGTTAGAATGCCCAATAATACCGCAAACAA